AACGAAGCAGGAGAAATGAAGATAACCTTTGCATCTGAGCTGAACAGAAACCCTGTGGAAATAGGAAGAGAGAGGCGGAAGTTTGCCGAATATCAGCCTGTCATTCACAACCTGAGCAATAAGACAAGATACGAGATAATGGAGGGAAATGTATTGAGAAAGTTACAAGAAGAGGATGAAGTTTGGAAAGAAGTTATAAAGTGGATAGTGGATGGTAGAGTACCCAAGATGCAGGAAGTGAGGGTAGGGATACAGGAAGTGATATCAGTGAGGCAGATATTCAATCCTACCCTGTTTGTGATGCATAATGGGATATTGTGTTATAACTGAAACACGGATCCAGCCAAGCCCTATGATGCTTTACGTGTTTGTATACCAGCAGTGAAGTTAGAGGAAGTGTTCAAGATTTGTCATGAGGGTGTGGCAGGGGGCCACAGAGGCATTGCAGGAACCTTAGATAAGTTTGAAGGACCTTTTTTGTGATGTCTGCTCGTGAGAAGATCTGTAGACTGGTGGATCCGTGTAACACCTGCCTAGCCAAGAAAAGGAGAATTCAAGCCAAGAGAGGGCCTTTCATGCCTAGCACAGTGGGCAATATAGGGGAGAAAGTGTTCTTAGTTTCCATGTCTGAGACAGTGAGAAAGAATCGTTATTTATTGACAGTGCAAGATGGATTTACAAGGTTTATCCTCTTTGCAATAAGGAGGCAGGCACTGTTGCTAGGGTGTTAATACGTGAACATTTTAGAGTTTTTGGATTGCCAAACCAAATCCACTCAGACAATGGAGCAGAATTTGTCAATAAGTTATGGATTGAACTATCTAGTGAATTGAAGATTTTGCATACTAGAACCCCACCTTATAATCCATCCTCAAACATAATGGAACAATGGCATAGAACAATAGTAGGTATACTGAGATCAATGGGCAGTGAGATGCAAAATGAATGGGATCTAGGTGTAAAAGCGGCTTGTCTGGCCTATAATACTACATTACATTGTAGTACAGGCCAGACACCATTCTTTGCAACCTTTAGGAGAGAAGCTTTATTTCCCATCCATTGAGTTTACCCAATTCCCAAGCCTGACGCTGAGCTGGATGTATCTGCCTGGATGGAGACTATACAAGAAAGATTTCAAACTGCCTATGCAGGGATGAGGAACACGCAGTACTATAAGCCGATAGTGAACCAGTTCAACATAGGCCAGTGGGTATGGATCTTTGACCCCAGGATAATTCCAGGCAGTTGTGACAAACTCAGGTCTTATTGGGCAGGTCCCTTCAAGATCATAAGATTGATGGCTCCAGGGCTGGCTGAGGTGATTGCAGTTTTCGAGCAGGGTATGTCAAGGATCGTTAGCATGGATATCCTCAAAGAATTTCGAGGGGAGAACAATGTGCACGGTTTACCCAGTGACCCCCCCCCCCCCC